AACTATATTTTTCTTTATAAAAAAAAAATAATAATAATATAAAAAAAAAAAAAAAAAAAAAAAAAAAAAAAAAAAATTCATCGTATCTGATGATATATTTTTTTTAATCTAAGAACATCTGATGGTACAATGATTTAAATTAAGAATATCTTGGAATTTTATCAGTAGGAAATTTACATTGTAAAGTACATGTACATGTATGTTGCGTATGACCTTAAATTTGAAATATCTCTTGAAATACAAGGTTACCTTGAGTAGATGCTCATTCATGTAGTTTCTGAAGTATTTTAGCAGAGTAACTTTTTTGGTAAGGGTTTCTGGGAACACTTTGAGGGTGTGGTAATGCTCAGTGCCATCTCTCTCTATATACTGCACATTCCTAAATTGAACAACACCATTACCATTTATCAAAAATATTATTTGTGTTTATAATTTCACTTATTGTTTAGAAGCAGAATTGTTGTTATAGAAAGAGAGAAAAATAAACTTCCCCCTTCCATTTTTTAAAAATTATAATGTCAAACAGCTTTAAAAGTTTCCCTTTCACTATAACTTTTCAAAAACACTTACTCTCCGTTGGCTAGAAGGATGAGGCGTGTTGAGTCATTGAATAGTACTCCTACACTGTTGTCACACAGCTGATAGCCTAGGCCATACTTGTCCGAGTAATCTACCCACTTACTGACCCAGTAAATAGGAATAGAAGCAGGGTCTTCTGCCTCCTCTATAAAAGTCAGAAAATTCTGATCATTCCATGAAACATAATAACCCTTCTCTGGTATTTCCACTTTGATTTTTGATTTTATAGTAAAGCTAGTAAATGCAAATATTTAAAAGGCAATTTTTGAACAAAAATTTTTAAAATCTTAGTTGAATTACCCTCTTGTATTTGGATTTTTTCCGATGGTTTCGATGCTATCACAGTCGAAAGGACGGCAAATAGGTCAGATAAATAATAGTCTGCCGGTTCATCACCTACAACACATAGAACAAATTTACATAAAAAAATACTTCAGATTTTAATCTTTCTATTTGTACTTGTTGAAACATTTAATCTCCAAAATCATTTCCGAAATTCTTCTCCTGCTTACTTCCTTTCCTTCGTCCTTCATCAGCGTCTTGTTCAGATTCTTGTGGATACTTGTCATCTTTTTTCATGTCTGTTGGGGCAGTCTGTGGCCGTGAATTTCCATCTGAGTCAAGAATAAAAAAAGAAATCAAAACTGGTACTTAGTTCAATTCTTTTTCTTCCTTTTAGTTTCTGAATGTTATGATACAGATAAATTTTGAATTTTCTTTTTGTTTACCAGCTCTGTTGATTTCTAGTAGAGGTCGTCTTGATAATGCCTCTGAGCGTGCTAGTGTATCAAATCTGGGAGCCATGCTCAGGCAACTGGTAGGTAGTCTAGGGGGAAGGTAACCTATAAAGAAACATTTCTTCCTTTAACTATAAAACTAAAAATACAACGATCTTTATTTTAATATGCTTTCATGTGATCTCAAACAGATTTCTAAGATTTTTTTGTTTTTTGTTTTTGGCATGTGTCTATTACCTGAGTGAAAGAATTCGTCCTCTAACAGAGCTTCCATTCCTGGTCTGTCTGTGGGGTCACCTTTGAGTAGTTTAGCAATTAAGTTTTTGGCGGGCTGACTGACTCGGGAGGGAATGTGATATTCATTTTTCTTGATTTTTAAGTAGGTATCCTTTAAACAGGAGGTTTCAAATGGAGGTTTCCCCACCAGTAAAGTATACCTGCCACAACACAAAGCATCAAACTAAATATAACATTACTCATTTTCCATGAACAGCTCTTTGATGATACATTATACACTATATTATAAAATATGTTCGATCAATGCTTAGAATGGATGCAACATATAGATTTATTTGTAGCTCTTGCTTTATAAACAAACTGATAACCTTGGGGCCTTTTACTCACAGTATACAACCGAGTGACCATACATCCACTTCGTAACTGTGACCCTTCTTTCCAAGGACCTCGGGGGCAATGTAATTTGGCGTGCCACATAATGTTCTGTAAAGAAAAAAAAAAACAACATATTAACAAATGCTTGTTCTTTCCATTTGGCTTTTTAAAGATTTTTGAGACTAAGTATAAAATTTCTAAACTTGGGAGTCCAAAATGAGATTTCTTTCAGAATAACACAATGCAATTAGTCATGCAGCACCATCTGAATAGAGGTGGACAAGTCCAAGATAATTAATTTTGCATGGGCTAAATAATAATCAAACACCATCTTTGCCATCTGACCTTTTCCTCTCTCCATCATAATCCACTCTTGTAGCCAATCCAAAGTCTCCGATTTTGACCTCCATTTCATCATTGATAAATAGATTTCCTAGTTTCAGATCTCTGTGAATGACTTTGAAGTTGTGTAGATACTGACACGCGAGAATGACCTGTCGCACAAAGTACCGTGCCTCTGGTTCTGTTACAGCCTTCCTTCTCTTGTGCAGTTCCATCAAGGACTATATATTTATAACAAGACATTATGCTTTATTACAAGAATTGTAGTTTTGCATTTTTTAATACAAATGAAAATATCAAAGATTGACAATTATATTTATTTAATTTTGATATATACATGTACTAAAAATCATAGAAATTTATGCTTTGTATATGTAAATAGGAATAGGTTTTTAAACTTAAATACCAATTTCAAAATATTGCAGGAAATGTGAGGAATTTAAGGTTAAGTAAAATTGAAACTATGGTTCTCAGGTCAATTTTCTTAAAAATAGATGACGGTGGGAGGGTTTTTTTTGGCCTTTTTATTGTCAATAAATTAAACTGGGGGGAGGGGGGAGGGACTTTTTTTTAATTCCGGAAAATTCTTCCTTTATAATTCGTTATTTATCAAGTGCAAAACTATGAAAAATTGAGGACAGAATTTTTTCTTCTGCATTGGTCTCCGCATTACCACCTTTTTTAAAATTGAAAATATGAAAAAAAAATTTGCAATGTGGCTACCTTAAAATGGACCAGCAAGGGCCCAAGAACCATAATTTCATTTAGCCTAATTCTAAACAATGCAAAGTTAAGAAAATCATTTGTTAATATCATCATTCAAAAAAATTTAAAATATATATTTAAAGATATACATGTATATAAATCTCTCTCTCTATATATATATAATTGATTTGATATGACACTTATAACGGGAAATAATATTTTAGAAGACAACAAAAGATGAATGACAAATGCAGCCTCAGGTACTTTATTAATGTCACATTTTAACACCTTTCAAACATTGTTGGCTGTCAGGGTGTTAATGGCATCCATTAATACTTACCCGCCTACGACACAGCTCCAGAAGTATGTAAACATTGTCCATGTCCTCAAAGAAACTGTGAAATTTGACGATATGTTTGTGGGAAACACTGCGATGAATACTGATCTCTTGGGTCATCTGATAATTATTCAGTGAAATAAACTTTTCAACATGTTCAATGATGGTGTCAATGGTGATAATTTAAAAACATTTAAAGAACTGAGCATAAATATTTCACACATCTGTACAAGAATTTCTGATATGTTCCCAATTAGATATTCCAAAAGAATCACTGTACCTTGTCTTTTTGATGCTGTTTCACTAGAAGGGACTTTGGAACAATCTTTCCAGCAAATATCTCTTTTGTATCTGTGTCTGTCAACTCGTAACATTTTGCAAAACCTCCCTAAAGTAAAATAGTTGATTTTCATTGTGAATCATTTTTTAATAGAAAACTCCCCCACTTAATAAACCTTAAAATGAAATGCTCCTTAGGTTTTATATTATTGAATAATAGTCATAACCGAGTACAAATGGTAGGACCTGATCCCTTTATAAAATAAAAGTAAAATCAAGCCTCTCATGTCTAAAACTTTTACACCTTAAACACCCCCCCCCCCAACCCCGTCCTAAAAAAAACACATTATAAAAAAATTTTAAAAATCCAGGCAAGGACATAATGGGGAACCAAATTAGTTCAATAAAAAATTAAAAATGAAATTGAATTAAATAAAATTGAATATAAATAAAAAGAATTCCAATATATAAAATTACCCCCCCCCCCTTTTTCCAATCACTACTACCAATGCATTCATACAAAGTTACAAAGTAAAATTATCAATCAAATTACAAAAATTAAACGACCATTGCAATTAGGCCTAGTTGGAAAGTTGGAAATATTTTTTCTGTCAACATGGTCAGTGTTGTTCATGAAAGATTGCTATAAGTTGAAAGTGCATTGCATAAAAAAATTATTATCAAATGAAAAATAACATTGGGGCAAATATAACATACCATGTAATTGTTGAATTATTGTTGTCATTTTCATGACATCAAACAACAGTGAGCAAATTATATAATTATTAATGTTCTGTTTATAAAAATAGTCCACCATTTTCAATTTAAATCTGTGACATGCCTGTACACGTTTTGAAAACGAAGTTGCTTCTACTATTTCTGTAATATGAATGCAATGTATTCTTATATGAAGTTTAAACATGAATTTTAATAAAATGTGTTTAATATATATAATGCATCAGATTTAAGTTGTACCTTTCCCAGAAATCTGCCTTTCAGGTATCTTTTTCCACTCCCAGGATCAATGACAATGTCTGGCACTTCCTTGCGTATTTCTTCTCGTCTTAACGCACTCGACATTTTCTTCTAAGTTTTGAATGTTGACATAAATAAATAGAAACAAAAGTAAATACAAACTTAATAGAGATCCGTTTCTTTTTTCTCACACGTCCCTTCCCTTTCTACCTGACTTGGTTTAAATTTAGCAGTTTGAAGATTGTGTACAGCAACAACCAACTGATTGGCTATTGCATTCAAGTTTAATTTCATTGGTTAAAAAGGTTTTCCCACTAGAGGGCAGATGGTACAAGTTTTTCGTTGTTTTTCTAGACTTTTTCATATTTATCAACCTAAATGCCAGAGGAGAGTACTCATTTGTGTGCATTATTTTGATTGGACAGTTATATCAAATGAACGAAGGCCTTTCATTCGCAAATGGAAACAGTTCCACATGGCTATGCTGGCAGAACCTCGATTTAAACGAAAAATTTCAATAAATCCAAACGGAAATGCCTGGAGTAATGGTAAAGTTGTATTTCAGTAAAATTATAATGCAATTTCCATGAACTTTGCAATTCTTAATTGAAAAAAACTTAATTACACTAATGATATGTAAGATTCTGTTAAGAGGAAATTCGGGTTTTGGATTGTAATGTCTAATGTAGATGCTGATGTGACAGATAAAAGTTGTTTCATTTGTTAGATTAATGGTTGTCTTTACATTTTCTCTAAATTTATATCTTGGGATGCATATAGGATATAAGTCAAGGTATACACAATGGTCAAAGGTCCTAAATTCGACAGGGTCCGAATTTCGACGGTTTCTTTATTTTGTTTATATCTCCTTCGAAGGGCTTCGATCTCACAAGAATAGACTCATCTATGTAAACAAAACGTACTACGGAAGACTTGAATCGCATCACCCACTAGTTAGAATAATCTAACTGTGTCTCGGGACAAGCTCTCACCACAGTTAGAATACGTCCCATATACTTGCAATGTAGCAAATCGCAGCGGATCCGCTCCGAAATGATTTTGAAGAATAGAAAAGGAGTTGCACTGAAAATAACAACGAAATTAATCATAACAAACCTTTTTAAGATTGTATATACCTTTTAACCTAAAAAATAATCCACATATATATGAAAATTCAACTCGTATTCTCAACGTTTTTTCCTCACTTTAAATTTACACGCCATGCTGACATTCAAAAATCTCGGGATTGTTCATAGAAAATGCACGGAGTTTGAGTTATTGCCCGTGTTTATTTTGGTACATTGCCAATACACGGAACAAATTCTATTGTTAAACTGGGTCCATAAGATAATATCATTTTAACGATAGAACATTCTATCTAATCACCCACATGCAATTAAAATTTACGTTATACCTGTAAGTGTCTGATTTATGTTAACTCACTCATATTACCAGGAAAAGCTTGCAATGCATAATTTGACAAAATGTCATCTGCATAGACTGAAGATTACACAATCATGTTTGGAAAAAAAGAGACCAAGACAATTTTAGTATGAGTTTAATGCAAATGATTTTTTTTATATTTTAAAACCAAGAATTTGTCAAGATCCAAAAGAGAAAATAATGACATAATTTGAATGCTTGCATTTGTTATCTTAAGAAATATAAAGGAGTTATCTAAATACAGACACTATTAACCAACTGCCCTCCCTATGTCTACTTCTTAATACAAAATGACAAATAGGCATATTCAGTTTTTGGAGCAGCAAGGCAGAACAATGTGCAATATATATTTAAGAATGACATTTAGCCAATCAGATGTTAATTAGGGCCCCGCAAGGATTTGCGGGTGCCCTATAGTAATCACTCTGTCTGTCTGTCTGTCTGTCCGTCTGTCATTCTTCCGTCCACAAATTTTCTGTTTTTTTCTAATAACTTTTTTTAGGGTTGACCAGTTAAGTTCAAATTTGGTATGTTGGTTGAATAGGCAGTAAGACATATTTTGATGCTAAGTTTGGTTCTCTGTGTCATCCAGTTTGGAGCTGGGGTGGTGGGGTAGATTCCTTTACTTTATAGAAGAGTGAATGGGCAAAGAGAGATAACTGTTGAGAATGTTCCTATTATAAACTGTGAAAGGCTGCAATGAGTCTCTTGGGATTAATTAACTTTCCTCTTGAAGAAAATCCAAAGCATTTATCTTTATCTGTCACATTGAGATTAATTAACACCTCTGTCTGCAAATGAAGTTTGTTTAGAAGTTAAGGTCAATTCTGAATGATGTTTACATTCTCTGATATGTGGATTTAAATAATGTTCATACTTTATTTTGGTAAAATACACAATGAGTTATTTATGATTTTATTGAATTCTAAAACCAAGATATAGATAAAGATATTTTTTTTATAATTATTTTATTATTTTTTTTCCTTATCTTTCTTTTTTCTTTCTTTTTTCTGCCTTATGTAAATTCAAGATACTATTTATTTTAACAGGTAATCAGATAATAACCACATTCTATCATTGCTGAAAAAGCTCTTATTGTAAACTTAGAAGAAAAGGTTGAGATAGCAGTATAAATAATCCCCTGGGATTGATTATCTTGGTGATCGCAGCAGAAAAATTTTAGAGGGTTATGTTTCTGTCACTTTAAGATTAATTAACACCTTTGTCTGCAACTGATGTTTGTTTTGAAGTTAAGGTCAAGCCTGGGTAATATTTGCATTCACTGAAGGCTGGCATTTTAGAAAACACATGCTTCATTCTTCTTTAAATATACATTTAATTGAGTTATTATGGATATGATATTTTTTACTGCCTTATGTAAATACAAGGAAACTATTTACAGGTTGGTGGATATTTAGCAGTTAAATTGCTTTTGCTTATTCTTCTTTATATATTTTTAAATTTTTGTAATCAAGTAAAATTCTCATCTCCTAATCTGCACCCTTATATTTCTACCCCTCGGCGGGGCCCTTGCTGACTGGTCAGATTTCTAGTTCTACCTTTGTTTGAATTAATTTCAGATTAAATTGCAACAAATTTAACAATATTTATATCTATAGATACTAAAAATTTGTTTTGTTTGGCCTTGCATATCGATCGATGACATAACCATCAAAATTAGGACTCAGTATGGCAGCCCCCGTTGTTTATATGTCACTATTTAAATGCATCACATATCGCGATACAGAAAATAGTACCCTTTGAATGAAGTATTTTAGGAACAACTTATTTTTGTGGATAATTGTTTTAATTATTTGATATATAAAATTGACACATCTTGATAGACTGTCAAAATATGGCATGCAAGGATATATGGTCGAGGGTCCTGTAGTCGTGCGTGCCCAGTAGTCGTGCATTATCAGGGCTCTTGATTCTCTATAATTGGGCCCGTTGAACGGCCCTGTTCCCAATACAAAAAAGGTACCTTTTTTCTCAAAAGAAAGGTGTATAATTCCCAATTTTCTGTAGCAAAATATTTTTTTTTAAAAAATAGACATTTTATTTAAACAACAGTAAGCTGCGCCTAGCACCACGTGGGCCAGTCAGATCTGAAAACCATGTTGACCATGTGATTGAGGAAATTCAGGAGGATGTGACTAGCGACTGTCACTCAGATTAGTCAGAAAGACAAATAAACCACAATTTCAACACTTAAAGTTAGTAATGAGCAAAGCCAATGTACTTCCATAAATATTCTATCCATATATTTTCTGTTTAACTTTAACAGTTTATTGAAAACCAGAATTGAAGACAAAATCTAGAAAAACAAAATTAAATTTTTTTTTTTTTTTTAATGAATATTGGATTTCCCAATTTTTATAAAATGATATTAATTTCACAATTTGAACGGCCCTGGCCCCAGTCCCAAAAAGTGGTGTGAGAGCCCTGATCATTTTGTTTTTGTCATATGTTGGTCACGTGCTACATGATTACATCATAAACAAATGATTTTCAAAGATTAGAGAAGGAAGCGCCTACACTATAACAAAAAGTTGAATATGCGAAGGAAACATTTATACATTAATGAAATAAACATGGGCATCAATAAAAGCCGCCATTTTGTTAATACTCTTTTTGCGGTTTCTAAATATATACTTTTAATTAACTGTGCGGAAGCACCACCTATGGACATGATAAGCACATGGCTAATTAGCATAATCATACATGATGATCACTGGGTATTTGAATTGTTTACTTTGGTCAAGCAATGACAAGCATTATAAAAGATGACCTGATAAAAATTTGAGGTCAATGTGCATTTTGTCGGACCCAAGAACCAAACAGTTTGGTTCTTGGGTTCGACAAAACACATTTTGCAGAGAACACAGTCAGTAAATGTTTTGTAATACCTTTTATTTATTTATTTATTTATTTTTTGTAAAACTCTTGTGTCAACTCTGTAAAATTCTGTCACTGTTGAACACCAACGAATGCAATTAAAAGATAGCTGATCCCACCCACAGTATGGAGTAAGCAGTCCAGTATCTCATTGACAGGTCCAATATCTCACTCTGTGGTCAAACATCGATTTTTTTATGACTGCTCAGTATTGGAAATGTGAGACTTTTTTGGTATAGATTTACATAGGAACCAGTTTGTAAAGGCATAACAAATACATTGTTATATTGAGTGAAGAAATGTCTCTTAAGTTTCTATATACTATATATGTAGAGAAACAGTCAACATAATTAATATTAGCTCATCCAAAAAGTATTGATAGTCTCTTAAATTGATTTATTGTGACGTAATGATACCATCATATCTCTCAAAAAACATAACATCATTATAAAAATCAAAGTAATACAATCATGGCAAGATTTGCCAGCATCTAATTAACATGCACGTAATGCATTGAATACAAATTAGCTGCTTAATTTTGATGAATTCAAATCAAATTGCTATTTTATGGATTTGTGTTTTTTTTTTCATATTACAAAACAATTATTGCCCATGTTTTCGGGCAACATTGAATATGTTAGCCCCCTTGGGATGAAATATTGCCCTCAAATCCATGTCGGGCAATATTTCATCCTTTGGGGGCTAACATAATCAACATTGCCACCAACATCATGCAGATAATATTTGTATATTATTAATACCTTCACTACAGGGCTGATATTGTTTTACGTTTGAAAGTTTTTTTTTTCATATTGTTAAAACGAAAACTAATACATGTATTGTGTCCAACTGTAGATGATACTAAATTTGGCCAGAAGTTGATGAAGAAATATGGATGGACTGAAGGAAAAGGACTAGGGGTAAAGGAAGATGGCAATCCAGAGCATGTCAAAGTAGATTTTAAATTTGGAAATAAAGGTAAGTACAACAACTATTAGATTTAGCATAATTAATCTTACCTTGAAACGTAAAGTTTGTGTTTTTTATCTGCATGAGCAGAACTGGTATTTTAGTACTTGAGGAATGTCTTTTTGATTTTGAGGGTGGGGAGGGGGCTTGCTAATTTAGTTGAGTCAGATTATTTATTTTCATGCCTTCACAGGGCAACTTATTTATGTCCAAGATGACCAGAGACAAGTTACTTATTTTCTTCACTTAAAAAGTTTCACAAGCAAAAAAGGGGATACATGGTAACCTGCAAACTCAAAAACTCCGGCCCAGAAGGGGATGGTGGATAGCCCAAACTTAAAAACTATTTTGGGGGGAGCAGGTGCATCAGTCAAGGCCAGGTTATTTATTTTTAAGGACAGAATATATATTTCCCAAATCTGCCAGGCCCCCTCGGAATTAAATGATATTCCTGTATAATTATTTGCTGACTTTTTGTGTGAGCTAACTCGTGGCTTAGTCAGCTATTGCCCAAATATAAATTCACATATGATGGAATTTAATAGCAGTTTTAACTCATGATTGCTCTAACTTACACATCATAGTCTACAATCAGATTATGCTTTCATGAAAAACAGGAATTTTCTCTTGATTACTTCAACAAAACATTGGATGAATATACAGAGTTATGCCCCTTTTTAGCCGGGCTTTGCTGAAAGCAAAGTCCTGGCTGTAGGCATCGTGATCGACTGCCTTACTATAAATAGCATGTTCAGAAAAGTAAACAAAAAGCCTAACAGCGTCAAAGCAGACGCTTCCGATAAACAAAATAGTCACATTAAAAGATGATACTTAAACAAATTTTTTTACATCTCAATCTACGGAATTGTTAATTGATCAATAATTTTGTTTGAGAATTAAATTGAAAGAGGAATTAGATATTTACTTTATTATTATCGTGATATAACAATTTGTGCACATACGCTACTGAATGCATATTGTAAGCGAACTATTTTCAATAAGCGCGGGCTTTTCGACAGGTTGCCTATATTTCGTATCGTTTTCGTCGATGTTAAGTGAGTGGTTATATTCTCTGTTTTGTCTTTCAGCAAATAAATAGATAAGTAAATTGGAGTTTAAAGAATTAATTAATGTGCGTTATGCCTGAATTAGGTCGCCTGACAATTGTACATGGTGTATCTGGTGTATCTAGTCGGCGATAAAAGTAGTGTTTGTTTGAAACTTTAAGAATATCTCTAAAACTTTAACTATGAATTACATAAATATTAAACCAATATGAATTTGATTTGTTTTAAAATTAAATTCTAATTCAAATCTATCTAAAGAAAAATCAGCAAACCATATGGTTCAACATTCTTTTTTAAAAAAAGTTTGGCAATTGACAGACAAACATTTTTTGTAAAAAATTAATTGTTTTCTTAAAAGTTAAAATCAGTTACCTTAAATGTTTAAATTAGTGACATTAAATAAAACAAATGACTTATATATTCACTTCACTAGCCATATGTTATTGGTAGAATTAAAAAAAATTGTATGACATTTTTTGTTCGTTTACTGATATTATAGTATAATTAGTCTGACCTATATTTATTTACGTCCGTGATGCATGTATAAACAGTAAGCCCACTGACAATGTCGTGATATCTGTAATTGTTTTTTTTTAAGATCAGTATAGCATTAAGGTGTCTTGAATGGCAAGAAATTTAATGTAATAATGAATTTTAAAAACATCGGTGGTCATTTATCAGATGTAATTTGGTACGATACCGTGTTAATTCCTGCTGATATTTTCAGGCTTGATCTTGTGAAAACGGCTTAACAGGAGACAATTTATTAAATTTTTCCTTTCAAAATAATTGCAAAAAGATGATGATTTTATGATTATATTAACGGCATAAAATAACAGCGAACACCGACTACTTGCAGCAAACAAGTGCGCCGCCATTACGAATTCGTAAAACAAAGAAACAGTTACGGATACTCGTAATTTTCTGAAAAAAAATGTGTAGGAGGTCAGTCGGGTATAACCGGAAACAAACAAATTTTATTTAGCCTATGTATGTATATATTCATGAAGATTAATCTTACAGTTGTAATACTGGTAATGCTGTAATGTTTTCAATATATTACTACTCAAATAAAAAAGTAAAAATTTGAATGCGTTTAAAGAAAAGGGTTTGAAAATACGGTATTACTTCGATAACCCTGAATGCAATTAAAATAACTTTCTCCTTTCTAATAAATAATTTCGAACAAAAATCCTTATGATGGTTAAGATCTTGTATTTGTTTGTTTGTATGTTGTTTAACGTACCTCTCGAGAATTTTTTCACTCATATGGAGACACTACCACTTGCTGGTGGAGAGCTCCAAATTTTGTCCTATACTCAGCACTTACGGCCATTGAGCAGTGAGGGATCTTTTTCGTGCAAGCACCTATTGCGACACGGGCCCTCGGTTTATACGGTCTCAACGGAAGGACCGGTCTTCACGTCCCACAGTGGGATTCGAACCCGTGACGTAAGGATTAACTCCTTACTTCGCGACTCTAGAGCAGACGCTCTTACCACTGCGCCACGCGGGCAACTAAGAATTTTGTGTAAAGGTGATGTAAATGAAGTTCAAAACTATTTGTTTTCTTTCATAATATGAAATAAACAATGCGATTCCATTTGGTGAATATTTTAATTTAATAGTATCAATTTAAATGACTGGGATAAAGATTTATATTCTGTGAAGCATTGAATATAAATAAATAAAAATGTAAACTTTAAGATAGAAATTTCATGTGAATATGTTTATGTATAATATATAAATTATTTATACCCATTTAACAATCAATTTAGCGTGGAAAATTTTTATGCTTACAAATTCAGATCAAATTTTTAGTGAAAAGTCAATGGTATGTTTTGAATGTGAAAATTTTGTTCGAGACTTCTCACCTTGGATTCATCTCGCATGTGCTCCCAAAGCGCTTTACAGTATATTGAGCGTGCGCGCGCATTCCAAAAAAAAAAATGGTCTTAAAACACATGCAAGCTCTCAAGGGTGCTTGGAAATAAAAATCGTTTATGTTAATATATAATTAAAAGAAAACAACATATAAAAATGTTCATTAGTCTTTATCTAAGTACAACACATTATAATTTTTCAGAAAAAGTTGGTTAGTCTTTGCTTCAAAACTTCCTGTTCAGAATGAAGAGCCATCTATGTACGAGCCATAAAGACCTGAATACATCATGATTTTCTCAGGCAATGACCATTATGGCCGAACCTGGAACTAGAACTAGACTCATATTCATGTCATAAAGATTAGATAATTATAATTTTCGTGCAGCTGGTTTCCTAGAGGACCAAAAATAAAGAATATTTCTTTTCTGATTAATACAGGCATGTAGTATCATTATCAGAAAAAAGGAGAATTGTCCAAACCCGAAAATCCTATTCCGTTGGAGAAGGAGTAGGGGTGGGCTACAACTTACTTTCACATTTCGAATTTCATTAATTCATTACCAAATTACCGTACTTTTAATATGCTACAATAAAATGATGGGTACAATCTAATTAAAATTAGACTATCCATTTTGCTTTTAGTAAATCTGTTCGTCGCTCGTGATAAATACCTGGTTTATATTACGAAGAGTGAGATGAAAGTTCTAATTTAAATTTGATTGCGAAGAGTCAATCAACCTTTCAATGTACATTGTCCATTGTAAAAGTTTATGTTTGAAAAATGGTGACACCCCTAGCTCCTCCGATACTATGTGTCTGTATTAATCAGCAAAACCACTCAAAGTGCACTGTCACCATGCATAACCATTGTGAGCTTAATGTTTAGAAAGGTATTAATGTATTTTCATTAAAAATATCACCAAGTCCTATCCTGGGGTCTTAACGTTGGGTTCTGGACCGTAAATTTTAATTATTGGTAGATGGGTTATTATTATTTATAATCATACAAACTCTACCTGTTAAATATCAATGGTCAGAAAGAAAGATTTTCAAATATGTACTAATTTAGGATTAGACAATACACTCGAACATATTAAAGCCCGGCTTTCAGTACTTTCAGTACTTTGATTTTTTATAGTAATCTCAATAGTTTAATTAAATCATGCAAAATTTGAAAAAGAACGCTTTTGGCTGTTTAGATTTTCTTAGATTTTTTTACTGCAAATATTTTGTACATGTTAGATTTATTTATGTCAGAACAATTTGACGTGTTGCAATTAGTTTGACCTTAAGCCCATATGATATTTTCGCTAAATTGACTGGACTAGTAAACTGTCAGCCCAAACTCAAAAAACTCCAGGGGGGGGGGGGCACCAGTTAAAGTCAGGTTATTTTATTTAATTTCTTACCTATGTAAAACAAAGTACATGTAATTATTATCAAAATTTTTATGGGCAGAACAAAATCTACCAGCAACCCCCCCCCTTCCCCTTCAGAATTAAATGGTCATCCCCTAATTCAAGGCTGTTGTCAGCTAGGGCTCTCGATTGTCTCTAACTGGGCCAAAGGGCCCCATTCCCAATTCCAAAAAGGTACCTTTTTTCCAATTTTGAATGTTTTAAAATTTTCCCAATAGTCATTTCTCCCAAAAATTAAAGAAAATATAGTTGGATATATAATAACTAAACTTGCTATTCGTAATCCTCTGTATTGCAAAACAAAAATTAGTTGATAACAAAAGCCAGAAACCCAATACATCATGATTTTAAAGGATAGTAGTTATCACAAAATTTTCCAAATAGTCGCTATTTTCTCAATCTTGATGGTCACGGTCCCATTCCTAAAAAGTGGTGTGAGAGTCCTAGTTGTCGAATTATGAATTCACATATGATGGAATTAAAAACTAACAACAGTGTATTCATGATCATATTGGCTTTCAAATGTACTTTATAAAATTTAAAAGTTTAAAATTAGACTTGTATTTTTCGCTCCTCTACGATAAGCTTCAGTCTTGTATTGAAGCATACAGTAGAGGAGCGAAAATACAAGTCTAATTTAAATTAGATTGGTTATAAAGAGACAGTACAATATCACCTGGCTAGACTCCTTTGTTTCTTAGCTTTTATTATTGGAAAGAATAAAAAATCTGGTCCTTCAAATTTGTCATTAAAAATGTCACCTGGTACATATTCTCTCAGTACATGTACGTTGATAACTGAAGTTCTGCATTTATTTCAACACATAAGAAAGGGGGTTTAGTTTGCCACAATATTTTTAGAAATGGTAACAAAGTAAACAGAATCTTGACCTGTTCACCTGTAGTTAATGTTTTACCTGTTCTGTTGATCATTAGGTGTAGGATACAAACACAATCACAGTGATAACTGGATAGCACATCAGGATGACTTCAATGCCATCTTGGCCAACTTAAACGAAGGAAGCACAGGGGAGCCAGCCTCTGTATCCAGCATAGAGTCTACGTCTAAGAAGTCCAGGAGTCGTGTGCAGTCAGTAATATATTTATCCTTGTACAAATGAAATTGCTACTTTAAATCTGTTACAGAAACACTTCCGGCACAATATTGTATGCATGGTTCATTTTGATGTGTAAATCTTTCGATCGATACATGTAAAAAGAAAAGATTTTTTTCTGAGATCCCCTGGCCCATTTTGCAAATCAAAACTAGTCATTTGATTTTCATTTCAGTGTTATATACTCTCAATATAATTATTATTTCTGTAATTATCTATCAATCATGATTTTAAAGTTATCAGTTGGACTTTCTATTTAAGATATTGCTTTAATTGAGCAAACAAAATAATCAAAATTTTGACTTGCAAGGATTTGTCCGAAACACATGGTATATTTTTAAAGCTTCAAGTATTTCACTTCATGAATGGAAAATTTTTTTAACAGCTACCAGAAGTTTGTTCAGGGGAAGGATCTGTCCCGAAGATCAGCCTCAGATTTAGACTCCATTTTTGGCGTCCGTAGCAACAAGAAAACCAAGGAGATGGTGAAAGAGGATGATATAACTGAAGATAAACCCAAGGTCAGTCAAATAAATTCATTCTGTGGCTTGTTGCTGCTTCTAAGTGTGTCTAATACAAATATTAAGAAAAAATTCTTTGGGTTTCCATTTTTTGGGGGTATTGGCTGTTATTTTAAAGTGTCTTCTTTCCCTCTGAAAAAAATCAGAGAATGTTCTAACCAAATATTTTTGTGACGTTAAATTTACAAATTGATTGCAATCAAACACCAAGAAAGAAAAGAAGTTCCACACCCAAATAAAAATAACCCCCCCCCCCCCAAAAAAAAACATATACACACACACACACACAAACAAAAACGGGGAAAAAACACACACACACAAAAAAAGCTGCGTTTAAAATTTTAGTTCAACATTTTCAAAAAGTGGGATATCTCAAAATTATTTTGATTTATTAGTTAATGAAGTATTTTTTCCAATTATTTTTTTTTTTGGAAATCTGCCATATGTTTTAAAGAAATAAGACAACTTCTATTTTGTCTTTACCAGGAGGACCCTGTATCTGTTGTCACCTTCAATAGCACTGATAGTTTACAGGAATACTTTGCCAAGAAAATGGCTGCAAAAAAGGGAGGAAATCAACAGAAGGAGTTAGAGACTGTTAATGAGCAAGACTCAGGTGAAAATGGATCAACTTTAGAAAAAGAAAAGAAGAAGAAAAAGAAAAGGAAAGCTGACCCTGAAAGTAGTGAAGAGAAGGCATGTGAGAGAACAGAAGACGAGCATGTCATGTTCTCACTGGGAGATAATGAATCAGGTTCAAAAGTCAAGAAAGCAAAGAAAAGTAAGAGTGTAGAAGCAGTTGAATCTGGCTCAATGTTTGATGACAGTAATATAGATGACAGTAAAAAATTTGTGAAAAAATCAAAGAAGTCAAAAAGGAAAGGGAAAGAAGAAAGTGTTTCAGCAGAGGAGAAATCTGTTGAAATTGTTGAATCCAATGAGATTAAAGATGACAGTAGTGAGTGTGTGAAAAAATCAAGAAAGTCCAAGAAGAAAGAAAGGGAGATTACAGTTCCTTCAGAAGAGAATGTAATATCTGGGGACAATGAATGTGCAAAGGAGAGCAAAAAGGAAAAAGTAAAGAAGAGAGGAAAACAAAAATTGACAGAGGAAAGGGTAGAGACAATAGAAAAAGTGCCAGTTAAAAGACAGCTAGAAAATGCTGATGAGGAAGAGGGGCCCAAGTCAAAGAAAAAGAAGTCTAAACAAGGTGAGTTGGGTAAAAGTGGGACAACTGATGGTCGGGCAAAGCGAGTGGTGTTTGATTCTGAGGGAAACTTTGAGCGAGTTCACGAGGTGGAAGACAGTTCTGTAGAGATACTGAAGGAAAGCTACATGAAGACTTTCATGCCTAACTATACTGAAAAGTTGAAGGCAGGCAGTAAGGTGAAAAGGACTTCAGTGAACAAAACTAAAAAGAAGATGGTAAAATCTTTAGCTGAAAAACCTACAGCAAAACTCTCAGTGAAAAAAACACAGAAAAGTAAGACATTTACAGAAGAGTCCAAACAGACTATGGCACCCGCAAGAAATGCAAGGAAAACATTGCCAAATAGACAGCTTGATTTGCTAAAATCTGTTGGAGAAAACAAAATGACAAGAAACAGTTCTGGCAGGAAAAAAGTTCCATTTGATAGAAAAGCCTCTCCATCAGCTAGGACTGTAAAAAGATTAAATGAGAAAAGGACAGTTCAAAATACATTGAAAAAGGATAAATCTTTCCTTTCTCGGGAAAAGAAGAGGAAGATATTGGAACAAGATATGAAAACTAAGCTCCCCTCGATTATAGATGTGTTTAAATCAAAAGGTGCTAGTGTTCATGCTGTTGGTGGGCTTTATGAAAAACCTATAGAAAGTGGAAAACAAGATAAAAGTGACAAAGGCAACAATCTAGTAAAAAATGGAAAGAATGGAGGAAAAAATGTGAAAAACAGAAACTCTGCAAAGAAAGGGAAAAAAACTGTATCAAAAGAAAATTCTGCAAAACTATTAACTAAAAATAAAGGCCAGGCAAAAAATGTGAAAAAGACAAGCAGCAAACCAAAAGCATTGTCTGATGTAGAAAAGGAAAAAATTGAACAAATTCGCAAACGTACTGGAAAAACGCTCACTCGCCATCAGTTGAAAAAATCCCTGTGGTATGCTAAACAAAAGTTCAAAACATAACGACATGCCACATGGTAAATTGTTTTTCATTTTTTTTTGGCAATATATTCAAATGTGTGCACCTTACTTGATTTTCTCATTATTGCTGTTGTTAGGTTAAATTTTTAGGACTTTTCTGTTAGGAAACAAGCTACTGTTAATAGAGTACTGGTATAAGAGTAAAGTTACATTTATATACATGGACAATATAACATAGATTGATCAGTTCCAACAGATTTATAATTTTGATAATGCAAAAATGATTGGAGTCCTGCTGTGCAGGCATACGTGATCCATAAATCTAACCTTTCTTTTGTCTATCCTTCTGATATTACTTGAATTCAGAGTATATCTCTTTTCTTCTTGGTTCCAAGCGAGCTCAGATACATGATGTATTTATATAAAACTAGCTATTTCTAAATTTAAAATGAAAGTGTTTGACATAAAAAAAAGACCAAAGGTTTTATGTCAGATGAATTTTCTCTCCCAAGTTCTATATTGCATATTTTATTTCTTCATAGGTAAAAAACACTAGAACCCGTAGACCACACCTGGAGATGGAAAGGAAAATGCCATTTATTGTTAAAAAGGAGACTGATATGATTGTGATTATAAGGAATATGATTTTTATGTAAAGTTGAAATGTATTGTGATTTGAATTGATAAATTATTGAAATGTTATGAATAGTGAATGTGATAAAGAATGAAAGAACAATTGTTTTATGTTATTACATGTATTTTGGCCTGTGGATATCAGCCTGGGTAGCTCAGTCGGTAGAGCACCTGACTAGTGATGCAGGTGTCCCGGGTTCGATTTCTGTCCCAGCCATACATTTTCTCCTTTCCTGTTACGGATTTGGTGTTATTGACCACCTCTGGACTTGCAGGTGAAAGTCCTGCCAGGAGCAATAAGAACTTGGGTTGTGTCTTCCAGGGCGAAGACAATTTAGGGAGGGAGGAATGTAATGGTTTGGGCCATGGATATCAGCCTGGGTAGCTCAGTCGGTAGAGCACCTGACAAGTGATCAGGGGTCCCGGGTTCGATTCCCAGTCCAGCCATACATTGTCTTCTTTCCTGTTGCAGAGTTGAACAGTTCACCTCGGAGTGTTCAAATACAGTTAACATTTATTGTTATGGGAAAAAAAAATCAATAACTTTTGGTTCACTAAACCAGGGAAGGGAAACGTGACTTGTGTGATCATTAAGACCCATGAGCCTATTGTTAATGATGAAACGGCTTTGGTTAATTAAAATGGCAAGGTATATCATCCAATGGAATAAAGAAATAAATCATGAGTTTTATTATCCTTTGCAACAAAGAATGCAGGTGACATACATGAACATAATTACTCATTCAGTTATGGCGGTCAGACGGGTTCGATGGCCGGTGGCCAGATGACTGTTATTAAGCACCTGACTGGAGATTCAGGGGGCCCAGGTTAAAATCCTGGTCTGGTCCACTGCATTTTTCTCCTCTCTTGTTACACAGTACTGTGTGCGGAGGGCAGGCAAGTTTGTGAACTATCGGAGTATCTAACAAACTGATATAGAATAAGAGGGACCAAGTTTGAATCCTGATCTAACCCTAGGATCTTGAATCAGTTTTAGACTCAAATCAGATGTAAATTGATTTAAATATGCATGTAATAGTACAGAAAAAATAAATTTGAAATTGTGTCCGACAGTCTATAAAAAATCATCTTACAAATGACTGAAATTTTGTCTCGTCTTAAAACTACTTCCTGATTCTGGGGCCTGGTCTGTCACATTTTATATCATCCTGCTATGGACTATTCGTTTGCAAAGTGAAAAAGGGCTTTTTAGTAATTGTAGACAAAAGGTCGAAAATAAGATATTGTTGACATCAATTACAAATACGTTTTCATCCTAAGGTTTTATTTTTTAATAAAGTTGAGTTATAAGCCACAAATAAATGTACAGTGTAGTTCTAAGCATAGCAACGGGAATTTATTTTCGAGAATTACCAAGTTCCAATTCAGAATACCTTTTCAGATTGTTTAAAAACAAACAGCAACTTTCTTTGATTCAAATAGCATTTTATTACTGTTACATATATCACTATGTTACTGTTGGTAACTAGCACTTCACCTTTACACTATCACAGAAAATACTATCCTTGAACTCGTACATGCAGAGTAGTATCAGTTAAAACAAAGAAAAGATCTAGACAATCAGCAAATGAATGGTTCTAATTCTTTACTAGTACACATGTACTGTGATAGTTTTCACAAGTAATTTAACACAGGTGATATGTACTAAAATCTTAAGAGAATACAGCACAGAGAAAATAAGTTTTCTTTTAAAGTAGGACAATACACTTAAGTAATTTTAAGGTCAAAGCTTTTTTTATATTGCACACAATTACATATTATGTCAGAGTAAATTCTTAGCCAGCAAAATAATAATAAAAAATATTTGGTCTACCATTGGACATGCATGTACATGTATAACACAGTATTGTTGTAAGTTGCAAAAACATGGATAACTGATTATCTTGCAAGCCAGTATTCTGACAAACACAAATAATTACTATTTTAACAAATCTTTTGGAATGACAAATGATATCAAAACTGAAATTAAATGATATGGTACATGTGTCAATTGCTCTAAAAAAAAACTGACAAATTTATATACTTGTGACACAACCAAAGACTACGGATAAGAGAGAAGGAATGTAGGATTTGGAATGAAATCTGCTGGGAGAAAAATGAAATCACATTTTCATGTTTATTTTGTGTTAGCTAAAACTCACTGCATCTTAATCACTGTTAATAATAAATAAATGTACATATAAAAAAAGTAGTGGCATCATGACTGCATATTTATACCTACATGTACATGTATATAAAGTTATCTGAGTTTTTAGAGATCCTGATAATTTACTTCATAAATCATAAATATGACTAGTCAATACTTTCAGATATTATGTGGAAGCATTGCATTCAAAATAATGACGTGGTATTGAATGACTTGAGTTAATCCAAACAAGCAGTTGGAACAAAAAAGAGGTATCAATCCAATAAACCATGCCCGAGTCCAGTATTATCACAGTCTAGGTGTGGTTCTACCACAATAAAAATGTAACGTTATAAACATAACAAAGAACACACCAATAACAAACCTCTAGGATTGCATTATTAACATGCCTACACAAATAAAACAAAAAGACTGATTTCTTATTACTGCTGATATTTATCAAAGCCAAGTTATTTAGAAGCAGAATTATTACATGATCATTGATTATTTCAAGACCTTGGTGGCACAGGGGGTAAATTCATTGGTCTTTTTGGAATAGGAGGGTGCCCTGTGGCTGGCCCCCTTGTAGGAACAGGAGGAAGATCTCTTCTAGGTGCTTGTCCATTGGAAGAAGGTCCCTTGGGAATAGGGGGTGGGGCAGTAAGAGGGGGATCGGAAGGTAAACTTTCAGGAGGTGGTGATGAATTTTGAAAATGATTAAAATTGGCTTTGAATTCTGCAAACTGGTCATCTTCATCGATTGGTGGAGGGGGTGGGGGCTCAGATGGGGGACCATTAGATGGTAGAGATGGTGGGGGCTCCAAGGGGGGACCTTTTGTAGGAAGAGGAGGTGGAGGTTCTGAAGGGGGTCCATCGAATGGTAAAGGAGGTGGGGATTCAGAAGGGGGTCCTCCTGTGATTGGGTCGGGAAGGGAACCCATAGATGATGTAAACTGTTCATGAGTGTTCTCAAAGGATGGGAGCTCTGGAGGGCTAAAAGAAGGAATTTGTGGAGAATCTGCCTGATTTTCAGAATTGCTCTGAATGTCGTTTAATTGTGCTTGGTCACTTTGTAGGTCTGCGGAAGCACTAGCTGTGATATCCTGGTCGTTGAACACTTGTCGGGTAGGTACTGGAGGTGGAGGTCTACTAACTCTGGGTGGAGGTTTACCAGCAGTTTGTGGTGCCTGATTTAGAAACTGACTAGGAACACTTGATGTGTCAAATGGATCTTTTTGTGCTGTATCACTGCTACCAGGCGACAAAGGGACATCAAGTATGTTCTGACTAGAGCTATCAGGAATAGATTTTGATGTTTTATTTACAACTGCATATGTCTGATCATCTGGTACAGTCCCAGTTGAGGGCATCCAGCTCTGAGGTCGAGTCGGTGGAATGGGAGGAGGCCCCCTGGTGGGCTTGAGTTGATCCCCTCCATGGATGGCCATACTCTGAACCTCCCTCCTTGGGGCAGGAACAGGGCGAGTATCACTACGGGGCTGTACACTAGGAGGGCTGTCTCTTGGTCGCTGGGGCCGCTGTGGGGCTTCTGTCATGGATGAAATGTTCTCTGTACTTCTGTGTCTTGGTACAGGTTTTGGTGCTTCTAGTGTAGGTTTGTTAGCTGTGACAGACTCACTTGTCTGGCTTCTAACCATTTTATTATCTAAAAAGGCAGAAACACCTTTAAATTTTACTATGTTTCTATTTACATTTTGTAATTATATATATTATAAATATTGCAGCCTGGGCCCAGAACTTACCATAGCTTTCATAAAATTTCCATGGAATTCAATTTTTACAATTTTTTATTTAGATATGCATGGACGTCTATATTTTAAATCTCATAATTCACAAGGCAATGAAAAAAAATGAAAAAGTTTCTTCATGTACTAGTCTGCTTTTTTTAACTGAAAGGAAAATTGTTTTCAGACATAGTTTTCAATGCATAAACTATTCTGATCTTTAAACAGTAGAGCTAAAAATCAAGAGCCAAATGAATACATGTACTTTGTCATGCTATCCCAGATAAGGTGTCTCACCTGTGTTTGGCAGCAGGGCTGGGGGTAATGAGTTACCTCCCCCCTCCATCAGTTTTTCAATCAGAGACTGTGCATCTTCTATAGAGGTAGCATGTCCATGGTGAGTCACATTTGTAGGAAGACCAATATTCATTGGCTGCATCTGTGTGGTCTATACATGTAAATACAGGGAAATTGATAAATTCTGAGAATAAATGCAGCAAGTCACCAATTAGAAAAAATTAATTCTGAGAAGATGAACAGAATAAATGCAGGAAGTCACCAATTAGAAAAAGATTGTCTTTTTATACATGTTCTATACACTAAGGTACTGACATTCTTAGAATTCTACGGAGACTAAAATGCTTTAAAAAGGAGCCCTTGGGCCTTGACTCTGGGTATTATGAGTTTCTTAGGCTATGAGGAACTCAAAACCATCTTGGACTGGAATCATGTGAATTTTTTACATTGCATTAATTTCATCTTCTAGATGCTCCGGAGTAAACAAAATTTTAAAAGATATAATGTAATACATTTTCAATATCGATATAAATTTGGCCCACCCTAGGGTCTGAGCAATGGAGACCTATTTCAAAACTTTGGTTAAGGGCTATCTGCTCATTACAATCATGCAAACATATTGACTATAAAGTGTCCATAAGAAAAAAAAGGAAAGATTTTTAAAGGTACATGTATAATGTATTTTCAATATTACTAACTTACCCAACTTCCCAAGTGATCTTAACCCTGAATCAGGGGGCATGAATTTCACAAGGTTGCTCATTATAATAATGCAAACATTTTTGCCTGCTATAAGACAATGGGTGAAGAAGAAAATATTCAAAATATTGTGTTAAATGAACTTTTAATATATAACCAAATTAGCCCCACCATTGGGCTTTAACCCTCAACTCATAGGCCA